TGTGCCATTCACGTCGTGCGCTTGTGTGTGCAATGAGCTAAAGTCAAATACGTTATATTTTGTATCTAACGTACACGATACACCGCGAGGCCAGTCTTACCAGCCTGCATGGCCATTTGATGCGCATCAAGTGCCTCTGCGGCTTGCAAGCTTGCCAGCGGGATGGTCAGGTCTACAACAGTGCAAGTATTAGGTGCATTTACACTGAACTGAGACGCCATACACGGTGTATGTGCAGAAAGCGATCACGATATTGACGGTCAGCCATGCCATTCCACCAATCCAACAACAACAGAGAAGAGTGCACCGTCAGACTTCAGTGACGTACAGAGAGCCGGAGGGTGGCACGGTACATCGTCTCTAAAACTATACGCGCCCATACACCAAAGCGGATGGCTAGCGCTCTGTTTTAAATAATGCATGGTTGGAACGCCAGCAGAAATACTGTCAACGCCATGTGTGGCACCGGGGTGTTCTCAGCCTGCCAACAGGGGTCACTCTTTCCCAGGCGCTCCCGCAGCTCCTGCATACCCCGCTGGAGCCCCTGGCGCACCTCCGCCAGCTGCATGCGCCTGCCGTGGAGGACACAAACAAAGCAATTATGAGACACCACGACACGAGGGATCATGGCATTGTTACGCTGTATACTCATTAATAGCATTGTCTCTGGTATTGGGCTGCTGTTTGACACGCCGAGGCACGCTTTGGCGTAGTTGAGAAACATCACAGGAAGATGATATAAGCTATTACACCAATCCTCCGGCCTGAAGCAAGTGATGTGTGTGTGTGTGTACTCTCATGAGTTATTGAACAACGCCGGATTTCGGTATCTTAGTCCCCAGCTCTCACCGTGTTCGCATCAGCGGGAGCTCTCACCGTGCTCACACCAGCGGGCCCCGAACGCACATCTAAGCAGTTCCTTCCGCCGCCGCGGCCTCCGGCGCCACCTGACGGTCGGGGCAGCACTGAATGACCGACATGCGTGGGCACCTTCGAAACCTGTCAAATGTTGTTTGAGCGTATCGCACCACAATGCCCGTAAAACGAGTACTAAATAACCGTATAATACCCGTTTTGGCAATAGCTACTGCGTGAAATACGCAAACGCTAAAATTGGTAAAGAAATGTCCAAGAATGTCGGAGTTTCAAAGAATGTTATTTGGTCTTCTTAAAACAAAAGGTTTTTCACTACAATACATGTTCCGTATGTGGCAGGTTGAGCACGAAGCTTAAAACAATTGCTCGATATATTTTGGAATAGTCCATAGTATTCCACGCCTTTTCTCCTCGTTACTTGGATGGCATTGAGCAACTCGGGTATGCAAGCTACAATGCTTTTGGCAAGCAGTGCTGGCAGAAAACTGTCAAATTTGTGACAATGGTGTAACAGACGCATGCAATAGCCGATAGAATGGCGAAGAACTCGATTGGATGCGCTATGCCACCACCGTTGGCCTGGGCTCACGAGAGTTCGCCGTCCAAAGTCGAACAGCAAGCTCATCGCAAGGTCCATAGTCGGAGCGGGAGCTAAGCATGAGGTTCAAAGTCGGACCGGGAGCTCGTCATAAGGTCTTAGTCGGGACGGGCGCTTACCATAAGGTCCATAACCGGACTGGCCCGGCTGTCCGTCCAAGCAGCTCACACCGTGGCCGGTGCCGCCTCCGCTGCTGGCCGCCGCCGCCGCTCCGCCGCCAGGGCCGCCGGGACCTCCGAGCGGTCCCCCACCCCGACCGCCGGCACCTCCATACACCAATGCCACCCGGCTGGCCGGCACCCCCGTGCGCACCCGCGTACGCACCGCCGCCAGGGCCGCCGGGACCTCCGAACGGTCCCCCGCCCGGACCGCCGGCACCTCCATACACAATGCCACCCGGGTGGCCGGCACCCCCGTGCGCACCCGCGTACGCGCCGCCGCCAGGGCCGCCGGGACCTCCGAACGGTCCCCCGCCCGGACCGCCGGCACCTCCATACACACTGCCACCCGGGTGGCCGGCACCCCCGTGCGCACCCGCGTACGCACCGCCGCCAGGGCCGCCGGGACCTCCGAACGGTCCCCCACCTCGACCGCCGGCACCTCCATACACACTGCCACCCGGGTGGCCGGCACCCCCGTACGGACCCACGTACGCACCGTCGCCCCAACCGTGGGGACCTGCATACGGTCCGCCGCCCCAACCACCGACACCTCCATACACACCACCACCCCGGCCACCGGCACCCCCGAACGCACCGCCGCCCGGTTGGCCCGCGCCTCCTGGGTAGTAGTCTACCCCGTCGTATCCCCCGTATCCGCCCCAATATCCTCCGTACCCGCCCCCGTATCCGCCGCCGCCGCCCCCGTATCCACCGCCGCCGCCGCCGCCGCCGCCGCCGCCGCCACCACCGCCGCCGCCCCCGCCACCGCCGCCCCCTGAAACGGAAAGGTGTCCGGGATGGCGCATGGGTCAGTGCCGACAATGCGTCTTCGATTCGAGGTGATATACTTCTCATGGTACGTAGGTTGGGAACATGTAGATTTGAGCTTAGCTTATCGCGATGCGATGTGATTGTCGTTTTTTTACTTGGATCGATGACTTTGACTGACACTCCGCTGACATATTACTTCAGACTACAAGTTGCTGCGTTCCGATATTTATATTTGTATGCAGTTCAAGTCCGAGGTATGCGGCTGCAAAGTACGTTCACTTGAAATTCAGAACATTTGATTAACATCTGTCGCTCGTTTGGTCGTAAGTGACGTTTGCAAGCTTGAATGATTATCATTATCCCTTGACACAAGAATAGCTTCTCAACCAATCAGTCTCGAACTCCAACGGAGCGCATATGTTGCATCAGCAAATGCCACGTCAATAAGCGGATTACACCTTGCTCGGGCTTATGCCGTGTCCAGGAGAATCGCAGCCGCACTGGTGTGCGCATAAACAAACCGGCCTAGTTCCCCAGCGTTCCAACAGATGGCGCTTACCTCCATACTGCGCGGCGGCGCCGGCCGCCACCACCACCAACACGGCCAGCACGGTTCTCATCCTGGAAAAGGTTTAGCGGCGGACCATGGGCTCTCTTATATAAGCTCGCCCCCCTGAATAGACTGTGACGTGTTTGAAGAGAGGCTTCTTTAACCGGTAGAACATGCCGAATGGAAGGCAGCAGACACAACGGATATCTGGCGGTGCATCGGCTTCGCTCAAGAGCATGGATTCCCCTAGCCTTGACTGGATCTAGACGAGCGCCTCGATTCGCAATAAACGGCTTTAGACAGGCCTGTAGAACTGAAAAATTCACGCCCGTGCCAGGCCGGGTTGGCGGGATACGCGCCAGCATTCTGTGGGATATATACAGCCGGTTCGTGCAGAGCCGGGAATTCCCAACTGCTTCCCGCGGCTGGGAAAGACCGGGTGTGGGCCTCTCCGCCTCTCCGCTCCCACACGTGCGCCGCGTCTGACTGAGGGGCCAGTCTCGGCAAGGGCTCGGAACTGGTTCGGTAAAGGCATGAAAATTAATAACAACCCAGTGGCTACATGGTTTCATTCGCCATGTTTCTTTGAACAGATACAAGCTCGCGACGAATAAGTGAAGACTTCACCCATTTAAGGTTACAGAATGTTATTCAGAGTTGTCGCGTACATATGTGCCTATGCTCTCCCTTCCAAAATGTAGCACTTTGGGAGAAAGTAAATGTGTCGTCCGAGTACCAACTCAAAACCTTTGTTTTTAAAGGCTGAGTGAGCAAATGGAAGCATCCGTCTCGGATGACGCTTCAACGCGGCATTTCCATTCCGAGAAAGCCTGCACACCAACTACGCTCGATCTGCGCTTGCAAGCTGACCTTGTGCAATGTCAAGCCGCGCGCGCCTCGCCAGCACTGAGCCTGGGCGCGGCTCAGCCCGCAGCCCTGTGGCGTGTTGCACATCATTCCACCCAACACTGCATCCATGATTGGCGACGAGCGAGCAGTGAAGGACGGAAACCAGGTGGGACCGCTGTGAGCACTGAATCTTACCGTGCAAAATGGGGGGTTCGGAAATACAGTGGGTTCATGAGTTAATTGAAGAGGTGGCATTCCTACGGTGATCTACGGTTTATTGAAGCGGTAGTTTACGGTGACTGTGCCATCAAGCAGCAACGGAATGTGATGACGCCCACGGCCGTTCTTACGGCGATCGTACCTAGTTACGGGCGTGCAAAATTTAGAACCCGGTCGTTCCTTGTCATTTCCGAGCACGTTTTGTCCGGTTGAAGAAATTTATTGGTCGGTGAAGCATCGGAATAATGTCAATAGCTCTTGTATTGTAAAAATATTGTAGTGTATCTTGTAAACATTTGTATGCTTTGGGTGTAATCTTGACGTCCTTGGTCTAATACTTGTGACACTTATGCACTCAGCTCCATGTCAAGGTAGCAAATACGTTCCGAAAACGCGTGGCTTGAGTTCACTGTACTTCACTTAATTCCTCAGATGATCGCTTTCTAAACACGTCGAGGGGACGTTTGGCTGGCCTTCGTTAGTGGGCCTCATTTTAGGAACATGCTCAGGGGCATGACGTCACCCGTCAATATTGGGTCAGCAAGCAAGGATGCTAACCCCTACGGTTTCTAGAAGTATTGCAAGTGTAAAATTACAGGTTTGAAATCAGGTATCACAGGTTTGAAATCAGTACCGATTGCTGTGATTCATATTTTTAAAGTCTCGAGATTTCAAAGTGTCTTGTAAGCGTGTATTTTCGGGATTTCATTTAAAGGCAGCTTGTAGCAGAAAACATGACAAGAACACGCCGCTAAAACACCATCTTAACACTAAAAGAACACTGTCTGTGCGTAACACTGTCAACACTAATGCAGCGCCCGGCAGTCACCGCCGACGGCTACCTGGCTAATATTCGCAAGACTGATGCTGCAAAACCACCTGTTTTCTCCCGCAGCCCCAGCTCAACAAACGGTAGCTGGTGGCCTACTGAACTCACTCACTCTTACTCACAAAACTCATTCCTATGAATTTTACCCGGTCATAATCAGAGCTCACGCTGCGGCGGGCGCCCCTGCGGCTGGCGGACGTGGAGTGCTGGTCGTCTCGTCGAACATCTGACAACTGTCGGCGGCTGGCAGAACTATTCGCTGACAGCTGCCGGCGCCGGTGTGGAGCGAGGGGAAGGAGGGAGGAGGCTTCACGTGCCCGCCGGTGGTCGGCGCGTGCAAGTCTCGGCCGAGCATCATGGGCATCCTTTGTCCGCCGGAGCATGTGCGGCGCGCGAGCGGCCGCCGATTCCAGAGCGGGTGGCTGAGAGCGGATGAACGATTTTCAAGTTGGGACCAGGATTCGGCTCGTGGAGCGAGACACACTTTGTTGTGCACGTTTTTAAAATAGCACCGAACATTCTGTTGGTAAGTGCAGATACAAGCGGGGTGGATCTCCAAATCAACACGGTTACGCACGTTCCATGTGATGAGCATGTTAGAAGTTCACGTTGCACCACGCATATCTGTCGATGCATGCATGACACGTATTTCTTATTTGTGGGAACAAGAACGGGTTAGTAGTGGAATACCCAGCCAGCAGTGTGGATATTAGCCGGAACCCTGACCGGCATTGTTCTGCCATCACTTAATAGTGTCACCACCTCGTCACTTTGCGAGTGTTGATTGCCCGTTTATCCGGCTTCCTCACCTCCTATAGGTTGACCCCACCATTTCAAGTTCATATCAGGTGGGTTGCGCCCCACGCAAAATACTCTTCGCCCCAAGGACGCCGCGTTCCGTCCGTGTACGGGTTGCCATCTTCGTGTAGTGAAAGCACCACACCAATAAGATTTAAGTTCTTTCGGTGTATAGGATGCAGGCTTTGTGGGCAGTGGAGCAAAAGAAACAGCACCCAAGTAGCCGGGAGAAGTGAGGCAGCACAGCGGCATGCAGTTCAAATGGGAATCATTTTACCGATCGTAATTAATTATAAACCGCCACCCTATAACACTTATTTACAGCTTGCCAAGCATACCAACTGAAATCAACGGGACGCGAGTGGCAGGGCAAGTCCAGGTCATGTCCAGGGCATTCGACATCCTAGGCCTGCAGCGTGTCACTGTGGAAATACGACAGCAATTTTGTTTGGCTCATAGCTTATATCCTTTCTCACTGGCCATCATAGTAGGCCTTCGCAACAGTGCAGGGTAGGGCGCGGCTGACCGGCGTACCTTCCGCAATGGTCACGGCCTGGCGCAGGCTGGAAGATGCACCGTGAACTATAATTGAAATTCATGGCCAAAGCCTGGCACACCCCATAGCTGCTTAAAAAGATATCCTCATATCACAAGAGCGGAGAGTAGTGTGCATGTTCTTTGACCCCCATTCATGTGGCTTAGTCGTGTTACAACATCCATTCTCCGCCGAGAGATCGGATACCAGGAGCACCGAGCGAGGCCTGCCGCTGGTGTCACAGTTTTCAATTAAACTACGCCCCGCGTTCGCGAACACGTCATAGAAAAGAAGAGCATTTGTGTTCTGTCTCTGTAAAGCTCCCGTTTATAGCTGACAATAACAAAAACGTGTACGTAAAGCTCCCGTTTATAGCTGACAAGAACAAAAAGAGAGGCATTTGTGTTCCGTGTACGTAAAGCTCCTGTTTATAGTTAACAAGATGCGCAAACAGCTGTAAGCCACCTAGTCAGCGGGTGGTTTGCTCCTCGCAAGCGGGGCATGGGCTAGTGATCCGAGTCTAAAGTCCATGCAGTT